CGAAACAAGGTAGGCCGATATGAGCGTTTGTTCTTTCCACACGCGGAAATGTGTTTTTATCTGCGCCTGTATTAACAAGGCTCCTTTCGCTGCCTGAAAACGGTTATGCTAATGTAGTCTTTATTTTCCCTCCCCCCACCCCACATGTCTCTTTGTCAACACGGAGGCATTGCATTTTAATAGCCCGGGCATCCTGCTCAGGCACCTCTCTATCGCGGTGGCAGTGGGTAGGAGGGGGGGCATTTAAACGCCACGTGCAAAGAGAGAGAGAGAGAAAAACAATTGATTAGTTACGGCTTGTCACATTACCCGCCGCTAACAAGCCAGTGGGCGGTCTCTGCCAAATGGATTCAATACATCAAGCTTAACGACACCTCGCTGCATCGCGCAACACACACACACACAAACACAATGGCACGTATGAGTAATAGCAGCAGTGGCAGAGACGGGGGGGGGGGGTGGTGCTGGTGGCGTGTCTTGCTATTGATGACACCGGCTCCTGGAAGCAGCAGACTCACGGATGTCTCCAGTCGGAGGCCCTCGCTCGGTGGCCGTCTTGAAGAAGTGGCCTGGCGTCGTCGCCTGCCTCGTGGGGTGCTTGGGGCGCGTTGGGGCGCGCGCTCGCCGCGGTGGCAAGATGGTATCTCCCTGACAAGATGTTATCTCCCTGACAAGATGTTATCTCCCTGACAAGATGTTATCTCCCTGACAAGATGGTATCTCCCTGACAAGATGGTATCTCCCTGATAAGATGTTATCTCCCTGACAAGATGTTATCTCCCTGACAAGATGGTATCTCCCTGACAAGATGGTATCTCCCTGACAAGATGGTATCTCCCTGACAAGATGTTATCTCCCTGGCAAGATGTTATCTCCCTGGCAAGATGTTATCTCCCTGACAAGATGTTATCTCCCTGGCAAGATGTTATCTCCCTGACAAGATGGTATCTCCCTGACAAGATGGTATCTCCCTGACAAGATGGTATCTCCCTGGCAAGATGTTATCTCCCTGACAAGATGGTATCTCCCTGACAAGATGGTATCTCCCTGACAAGATGTTATCTCTCTGGCAAGATGTTATCTCCCTGACAAGATGGTATCTACCTCGCAAGATGTTATCTCCCTGACAAGATGGTATCTCCCTGACAAGATGTTATCTCCCTTGCAATATGTTATTTCCCTGACAAGATGGTATCTCCCTGGCAAGATGTTATCTCCCTGACAAGATGGTATCTCCCTGACAAGATGTTATCTCCCTGACAAGATGTTATCTCCCTGACAAGATGTTATCTCCCGCGCAAGATGTTATCTCCCTGACAAGATGTTATCTCCCGCGCAAGATGTTATCTCCCTGACAAGATGGTATCTCTCTCGCAAGATGTTATCTCCCTCGCAAGATGGTATCTCCCTGACAAGATGTTATCTCCCTGACGAGATGTTATCTCCCTGACAAGATGTTATCTCCCTGACAAGATGATATCTCCCTCGCAAGATGTTATCTCCCTGACAAGATGGTATCTATCTCGCAAGATGTTATCTCCCTGACAAGATGTTATCTCCCTGAAAAGATGGTATCTCCCTCGCAAGATGCTATCTCCCTGACAAGATGTTATCTCCCTGACAAGATGTTATCTCCCTGACGAGATGTTATCTCCCTGACAAGATGGTATCTATCTCGCAAGATGTTATCTCCCTGACAAGATGGTATCTCCCTCGCAAGATGCTATCTCCCTGACAAGATGTTATCTCCCTTGCAATATATTATTTCCCTCGCAAGATGGTATCTCCCGCGCAAGATGTTATCTCCCACGCAAGATGTTATCTCCCTGACAAGATGTTATCTCCCTGACAAGATGTTATCTCCCTCGCAAGATGTTATCTCCCTCGCAAGATGTTATCTCCCTCGCAAGATGGTATCTATTCTTGATTTGAAGCTTTCGTGACTGCAATGATCCATACTCTTTGGTCCCTTCACCTGATGAAGGCCACTTGTTTTGTGGCCGAAACGTCGTGATTGTTGTTTATTTATGTATTTATTTATTTTCCCCTACGTGACTTTACCGAATAGAACCAAAGAGTAAATATGTTATCTCCCGCGCAATATGGTATCTCCCTCGCAAGATGTTATCTCCCGCGCAAGATGTTATCTCCCTGACAAGATATTATCTCCCTCACAAGATGTTATCTCCCTGACACGATGTTATCTCCATGACAAGATATTATCTCCCTCGCAAGATGTTATCTCCCTCGCCTCGTATGCAGGAAGTCCGTGAGTTCGATCCAAATTGTGACGCCTGTAATATTTGGAGTTTGCGTGTCTCTCTCTCTGTCTTCTCGTGGCCGCGTGGATTATTCCCTGGGTCCTCCGGTTGTTCCTTTAACATTTAGAATCAACGTGCTTTCAGAGTTATTTGGCTGCTATAAATTTCCACGTGATGCGAATTATTTTCCACCTCGCTACCAAGCCGCGCCAGGGCAGTGCCGAGCCAGCCCCGTGTGGCTCTCAAGGCACCAAGTTATGTTTCCACTGCGGAACCCGAGCCGTGCCACGGACGTCACGTGTGACGAGCGCGTCGAGACGCATGTGGGTGGTGTAGTGCAGTGATTCTCTTTTTTTTTACTCGGGGGTACGCGGACCCCTGGGGGCTATGTGGCAATGCCCCAGGGTGTACGTGAGATAATGTATAAATATGTGAAATCATATCGGACATGAGTCATTGGTGAATAGTCATGTATGAATCGCACAATGTAAAGTAACTACGATACAATTTGTATCCACGTGGTAACCTGGAACGATATGAAAGCACTTTCTAAACTCACTGATCGTACACAATGCGGGTTTACAAGAGCAGCCAGGGAACTAATGACGTCTCGCGTGCAGAGCGTCCGTTTAATTTGTTTTTATTCGCTTGCAGTTACTAGCAGCTGGTTAGGATATACCTCTCACAAAGTGGACAATTGGTTAAAATATTGACGTTCATTATTCACACGTTGATTTCTCAGAACCACGTTGGGTCAAGGGGGGAGGGGCTACTCGGTTTAAACTAAATTCAACAACGAGGGGGGGCACCGGTAGCCAACAACGGTTGAGAACCACTGGTGTGGTGTGCGCTGGTGTCCTTACCGTGCACTCACCGAATGTCACACACAATGTACGCGTCATTATCCCCGCCCCTGGCCCTGCTTGGCCCCAAGCCATATTCAGACACCGCGTGAGGTTAGCGTATCCCGGTTTTTGGTTCGAGCGCAACATGGAAAACGGCCAGTGGAGAACCAGGCAATAGAAATGTGGGAGGCACTGTTGGCACGTCCATATAAAACTGCACATGTTATCCCGTGGATACAAAATGCAGGTTAAGAGGAAAAATCGAGGCGCGGTGTCCTATAAAAAAAACCGTGATAACCCACACATTAATAATAATTAAAGCACTCATCATAACATTCCATTAAAAGAAAAGTACGTACAATCGGCGACATTTTGGGCAATGTATTTGTCAGGTAATCCAAGTCAAGATTTCATCCATGCTGGCTTCATTCTAAAACTTTGTGCCCTCTCTCTCTCTCTCCCCCCCCTTGCCCCCCCCCCTTTCTTACCTATATAACCTCTTGCCACGGCAGCTCTCCCACCTACCTCAGCATTTTCTTGCTGTGGGTGTCCCACCTGATGGGGATCGCTTGCGTTGTGATCGAAACGTCGTGATTCGTTTCATTTTATTTTATTTTTCTACCTACTACGTGACTTTACCGAAAGAACCAAAGAGTGTGGATTACTGCGGTCACGAAACCTTCAAATCGAGATTGCCCTACGTTTTGATAACCCATTGGAGGTTTATCGCAATGTCATCTCCCCCTCCCACCCCCCCACCCCCCAAGTTTTGTTTTTATTCATCCCCAGCTTATTGAATAAGCCAGTCGATAGGCTAACTTGGTGCTCACGGATCACCGTTCTCGATGATTACGGACGGGAAGCCTGGCGAGGGACGATGGATCGCCGCGGCATGCCGAGGAACTTTCGAAAACGGTGCCTTTGGCGGCTCTGCTACGAAAGCTGCGGCCACTTATGAGATAAACAAATGCACGGCACACAAATGGGCGGACGGATTAAAACATGCAGAGTGACACAAGAGACGGCTTTGCAGCGGCAAAGCAACAAGGGTTGGATTGTAACGAGTCACGTTGGTCGCAGTGACTCACAACAAAGACGCAGATTCCTCTGTATCGCCTTAACAGACTTTTGGGCCACTGTGGCACACGAGGAGGGGGGGGGAGGGGTTGGCCAGCACCTCGCCCGGCCGCCTTTGTATCCCTCGTTGCGATGTTTGCACACCGCCACCAGGTGCTCATTTTGATTCTGAGTCGATCTCGGGGAGTCCCAGGACCGGCTCAGAGAATCGTCACTTGGTGTTGGCGGCCGTGAGCAGGACTCGAACTCGGGCTACCGGGTTCGTAGCGCAATGCGCTAACCGCTGCACCACCACTCCCCTCTTAGCGTTCAATAAAGATAAAGACAAAGATCCCTCGTATAGCTTGAACGGACTGTTTTGGCAAGTGCTGTTAGCAAGCACACCAATACCAATACCCGACATTCGCCACTCAGTGACGGTGACGTCACCACAGCGCCTGTGCCAGGCCAGGTGCACTTTGAGGCCACGTGAGGTGTCGAAGGCTCGCTGCTGACAGGAGGTCACAGGACAGACCCAGCAGGTGCCACGGGATGGCTGACCGCGATGACCGGTAGTGGCACCAGCTGTACACCCTACTGTGCCAAACTTGCTGCATTTTAGCCGCCCGGCGCTCCGCTCGTTGTTGTGAGCGTCGCTCCTCTGCCCTCCGCTGTTGCTGGAGGGGGCGACTGCCTCCAAATGCCCAGTAGCAGCAGCGTCCTTCACGAGCCTCCTCCACAGCAAGCACACACAGACGCGCGCGCACGCCTACAATGGAATGGAACGAGCGGGGGTGACTTTGTGCGCTTGTTTTGTGTTTTTTTTTCTTCCATGCAGTCGGGTACTGGAAGCTGCCAAGAAGGCGAACCAGACGGGGCACTTCATCTGGATCGGTTCGGACAGCTGGGGATCAAAGATCGCTCCCATCTTCCAGCAGGAAGACGTAGCCGAGGGAGCCGTCACCATCCTACCGAAGAGGGCCCGCGTCGAAGGTGCGATAGCGGAATCAACGATCGTTCCGGCTCATTCAATTTTTAATCTTGGACGCAGCCGGCATGACATCTTTGATATCCGTGTCACAGGCTCATACATGGCCGTACATACAAGGAGGCGTGCAACGCTTTATTACTTAGAGAGATCGATAAGTCATCTTTGTGAGCAAATATACATTATCCCTTGTGCGGGTCTCCCCGCCGAAGCCCTGTAACCGTGGCTAGTATTGCAAGGGGTGTGCTGCTGTGCGTGGAGCGGCGTTTTTGTTCATCGGAGGAAACCGGAGTGCCTGGTTAAAAGGCGCACTTCTCACACGAAGGGGTCCACACGGATGGGTGCACGAACACAGCGGCTCCACTCGCCACCACCTCGCAGTCCCAGCTGGTTTGGAAGTTTCACACAGATAGGCCTGACCCACCAACCTCGCCTCCGAAGCGCAGAAGTAGAGCCACGTGCCACCGTCGCCTGGCTCGATCGCTACGTGCATATTTTTTTCTTTATGTTTTGTTGTGATAGAATGATGGAGATTTTCTGCTCCCATTATACTCTGTTGGCCAAGCCCTATCTGCGTGCGTGGTCTTGTTGCTCAGGTTTGTCTCATTAAAACAACATATATATATAGCCACTCTGGAGGGTATTTGGCCTCCACGTACATGCTGGTCAGACATCTTGGAAGAGGTGTAAGTTGCTCAAATTTTACCCCACCACACGTGACCTACCAATCGACTGTGGCGTGCCCATTCTGCACTGCTGACTACTGGGTAGACAAAGGTGGCTGGCGGGCGGGCGGCCGGGGTTAAGCGGGTTGGGGGTGGAATCCAAGTACCTTGCCGATTTAACTACCATGCCGGGAGTAATGCTGCCGTGCAGTGTAATAATGGTAAGCGCACTGGACTTGCTGTCCAACAGTGGCCGGTCTAATTTTTAATCCCACAACCCCTCCCCCCCCCTGGCCTTTAAAATCAGTATGAGCTCGCTGCTAACACGTAGCTGCAAAGTCAAAATGATTTCGTGCCTAGTTGAGCCTCAGCGGTGGGTTTGGTGGGATTTCAGTTTCAAGATCTGAAATGTTTGTACCCAATTTTTTCAGATAATTGGATCCTGCATCCCAGACTGCCCTTTGTACTGGGCACCGTGGGAAGCGCATTGTTAAATTTGAATACTGTGAAATTATGTAGATGGGTGGCCTTTCTTTCTGAGAAGGAAGACTTTTTTTGCGTGGAAACAAGATTTTGAACTCGCTATCCTGAGCCTGTGGACCATCAGTCGCCTTGGAGAGAAATAATTGGAAAGCGAAAACAAAAGTATCTGAAAATGCAAGGTGGTTCGCTTTGCAGATACATCATTTAATATTCATGGGGGGGTGGGGGGGGAATCTTAATACCGTTCTTCGTATGCATTATTGTTGGCACATGATGAGCAAACACAACGCAATTAATACGATGCTCAACATTGCCACGTCAGGTGGGGGTGCCTTCAGCGGACCAAGAGCACTTCGCTGGCACACACGTGCCGACACCCTGGATCACGATGTTGAGCTTTCACAGCTAACAACGAGGACCGGTGGCCAAAAGCCAAGTTCTTAAAGTGTAGCCACGACGCCGGCCTCGCCACGTCGAGATGGAAATCATCCACAGCGACTCCCACCTTCCAATTCCATGAGCCACGGCGGCTAAAAAGCGCTTACAAATCAAGGCCCGGCGATTCTCGGAAACAAGCCGCCACCATCCACCCCGGATGCACGCACGCGCGCACGCACCGTGGAGAACCGACGCCTCGTCACTGAATCGACGACGCAGGATCTATAAATTTAGAACGGAGCAATCCGATGAGCAGCGAGGCTCTTTAATGCACACGTGTCCGGTATGAGCGGGTGGGCAAGTTACGACAACGAGATTGACCAATTACGGTCGCGCATGTGGCGAGCGCAATGCAAACTCCCCCGGCGTCTGTAGCACCGCCGTAGACAAATGCACCCTTCGCTTGCAGAGGTGAGGAAGCTTCCTTCGTAACTTTCAAAATGTTCTGAACAATGACTGCTGCTCAAGATGCCGTGACCTTGGTCTCACGCCGCACGTGCTGTCAGATGATGGCGGCGAACTGCGAACATTTGTCGCCTGGGTAAAAACACACGCAAAAAAAAAAACTGAAAGTGACGTTCATTTCTCAAACGCGGAATGATTTTCGTGCTCAAAATACTTCGCAAGTAGATATTGGTTGAGTGTGCGTGAGAGAGAGTGTGCCTTTGTATGTTTCCGTGTGTGTGCGTGAGTAAATTAGTGGCAGTGTCTGGCAACAACAGCTTCTTTATTAACCCAGTCACCTGGGTTTGAGTCCCGCTCACGGCCAACACCAGTGACCATTATCTGAACCGGTCCTGGGCCTCCCCTACGTCGAGTCAGCATCAAATGTGTACCTGGTGCGATGTGTAAATGTCGCCACTAGGGAGACAAAGGCGGCCCCCACGTGGTGCTGGCCACCCACACCCTCGTTTGCCATCCCCGCCTTCATAGGTACGCGCTATAGCACTTGTCCCAACAGTCTGTTCAGGCTATACGGGGGGGGGGTTTTGTCTTTGTTTCTGCAATACTACTGTTTAAGTAGTATTTTGTTTTCGGAGTAAACAGCCAAGTGGCTCGGCAGGAGAGCGGGAAGCTCGCAATTAGAAAGTTGCGATTTCATATCCTGGCCGGGGGTTGTCTTAACGTATCATACCCCAAAGGGTCGATAAAACTAGCACGTACTTCGAAGGAAAAGGTGGAAGTGGTTGTCCTATGGATAGACTCGCCGCTACTATAGGAATGTGGACTTTCCACCACTGGCCCAGGGTTTGCTTGCGGGAGGTGAACATACACCTGAGATGCTCATTTGTTGAACAGAAAACGTTCGCCCTTCGTGTGAATACAAAAAACTACAGAGGATGCAACCCACAGCTCCTTCACCTGTAAACATCGGATGTGCAATAGATCCAGTTTAAAAGCATATATTTAAAGATACCCACTTGAGCAGGAAATGACCTTGACTAGTTTTTTTTTTCCTGAAGGAAGCCTCTGAAAATTTTGCCATCTTGTTGGTAAACTGTTTTGCTCTCTTAAGGGTTACATCCGAGTTTAGCCGCAACCAAACAGTGGCAGAATCTCTCACTCTCTCTCTCTCTGCTCCATACATTGCGGTATTTCAGTCCGAAACATAATTGGATGTCGATATTCTCATTTTAATATACTTCGTCTCGCAATTATAATTGCAGCTGTTGGTCGACGAGCATATCCTCGTGGAACATTGTAATCACACGCTTCCGTTTGGCTACAGTGAGGGAAAAAAGTATTTGAACCCCTGCTGATTTTGTACGTTTGCCCACTGACAAAGAAATTATCAGTCTATAATTTTAATGGTAGTTTTACTTTAACAGTGAGAGACAGAATAACAACAACAAAAATCCAGAAAAACGCATGTCATAAATGTTATAAATTGATTTGCATTTTAATGAGGGAAATAAGTATTTGACCCCTCTGCAAAACATGACTTACTTGGTGGCAAAACCCTTGTTGGCAATCACAGAGGTCAGACGTTTCTTGTAGTTGGCCACCAGGTTTGCACACATCTCAGGAGGGATTTTGTCCCATTCATCTTTGCAGATCTTCTCCAAGTCATTAAGGTTTCGAGGCTGACGTTTGGCAACTCGAACCTTCAGCTCCCTCCACAGATTTTCTATGGGATTAAGGTCTGGAGACTGGCTAGGCCACTCCAGGACCTTAATATGCTTCTTCTTGAGCCACTCCTTTGTAGCCTTGACCGTGTGTTTTGGGTCATTGTCATGCTGGAATACCCATCCACGACCCATTTTCAATGCCCTGGCTGAGGGAAGGAGGTTCTCACCCAAGATTTGACGGTACATGGCCCCGTTCATCGTACCTTTGATGCGGTGAAGTTGTCCTGTCCCCTAAGCAGAAAAACACCCCAAAAGCATAATGTTTCCACCTCCATGTTTGACAGTGGGGATGGTGTTCTTGGGGTCATAGGCAGCATTCCTCCTCCAAACACGGCGAGTTGAGTTGATGCCAAAGAGCTCCATTTTGGTCTCATCTGACCACAACACTTTCACCCAGTTGTCCTCTGAATCATTCAGATGTTCATTGGCAAACTTCAGACGGGCATGTATATGTGCTTTCTTAAGCAGGGGGACCTTGCGGGCGCTGCAGGATTTCAGTCCTTCACGGCGTAGTGTGTTACCAATTGTTTTATTGGTGACTATGGTCCCTGCTGCCTTGAGATCATTGACAAGATCCTCCCGTGTAGTTCTGGGCTGATTCCTCACCGTCCTCATGATTATTGCAACTCCACGAGGTGAGATCTTGCATGGAGCCCCAGGCCGAGGTAGATTGACAGTTCTTTTGTGTTTCTTCCATTTGCGTATAATCGCACCAACTGTTGTCACCTTCTCACCAAGCTGCTTGGCAATGGTCTTGTTGCCCATTCCAGCCTTGTGAAGGTCTACAATCTTGTCCCTGACATCCTTGGAAAGCTCTTTGGTCTTGGCCATGGTGGAGAGTTTGGAATCTGATTTATTGATTGCTTCTGTGGACAGGTGTCTTTTATACAGGTAACAAGCTGAGATTAGGAGCACTCCCTTTAAGAGTGTGCTCCTAATCTCAGCTCGTTACCTGTATAAAAGACACCTGAGAGCCAGAAATCTTTCTGATTGAGAGGGGGTCAGATACTTATTTCCCTCATTAAAACGTAAATCAATTCATAAAATTTTTGACATGCGTTTTTCTGGATTTTTTTGTTGTTATTCTGTCTCTCACTGTTAAAGTAAAACTACCATTAAAATTATAGGCTAATAATTTCTTTGTCAGTGGGCAAACGTACAAAATCAGCAGGGGATCAAATTCTTTTTTTCCCTCACTGCATTACGGTTTCGGCCAATATGGCATTTTGCCGCTCGAGTAATGGGATGAGGGCCCCCTGTGTGGTGACGTGGGTTGGACGTTCAATGAGGGTACAGCTGCCTGATTGAGTGAAACATCCTTTGTCATTGATGGCTGATGGTATACTCCTTCCTTTTCAAACTGCAAAGTGCAAAAGAGAGTGAGTTCGCTGGTTTGTTTGTGCCTCGGTGCCGCCTAAACACCGCAATCAGGAGCAGCATCAAGCGTACGAGGCCTCCCCTTGAGCCACACGCGTCGTGACAGCCATTGGCCGCTGCTATAAATTTCCACGCGATGACCATGAGCCGCTGCGATGAGCGATGATTTGTGACGGCGAGGTCGCTTCTGCGTAAAGAAGCCGCACAGCTCAGTGGGGCTTAAGCTGGTAAGATAATAAAAGATATATATGTGTGTGTGTTTTATCTCGATTTGAGGTTTTCGTGACTGCACGGATCCATACTCCTTGGTTCTTTCGGTAAAGTCACGTAGGGTAGAAAAAATAAAATGCATTTAATCACGACGTTTCAAGCGCAACACAAGCGTCCGTCATCAGTACGCATTTTATTCGTTTATTTTTGATTTCACGAGACGGCCGCGGAGAATGTTTGGCTACGAAGATGACGACGGTGACGGAATGTACCGGGGGTTATTTATTTTTTTGGTTATCCGGCGTCCCCCGCCAAATTTTTTTCCGCGGAATTTCCCTTCGTCTCGTTGCTCCTTCACGAGCCCGAGAAATAATCCCGGCGCGACTTTGCTTCCCGCGTTTACGATGGAACCGCCAATCGAAGCGTCCGCCGATTGACACGGCGTGAGATGTTCCCCCCGGAATGTCTGAATGGAAAAAAGAAAAACGGCGTCAATCCAATTTTACGCGACGAATTACAAAATTACAGATTTGAAAAAATGCGAATATGGCCAATTTCGCGGTAAAGGTATTACAAGAAAGAATAAGGAATTACAATATCGGCACGAGCTGATGTGAAATGATGTCTGTGCCTATGCGTGCTGTCACATAATGAAAGTGTGATATATAAAATGGGCCTCTGCGCTCCGACAAGAGGAAGCTCTTCTCTCAGTTCTATGAGTAATTTCAGCACCAATGGAATTGTCCGTCTATAGATTTTATTTACGTTCGGTGATGCCCCAAAAAATTATTCATCCCTCGAAAAAAGAATTGTAATGAATTTTGATTAAACAAAGAAGAAATATTATCTTTTTCTTCGGGGATTTTATTTTAATCAAAGCCGTTTTTTTAAACAAATGCCACGTGGGATGAACGGTGATACATGGAGAAGATCAGCAGCAGCAGCAGCAGGTACCAGTGCGATGTTGACGTTTCAACTTTATTTTGTTTAACCAGGTGAGAACTCGGGTGACAAGGAGAGTCTGATTAGTAAAGATATGCTTTTTAAACACATCTTGTTCATGTCATTATTATAATCACATTATTCGGGAAGTGTCCATTTTGCAGGAGGGTCTTGGGGCCAGTGTTCACAGTAGGGGGGGGGGGGGGGGGAGCGATGACTGCCGCGTGTAATCTCTCCAATTGAGCCAATTTGCGGGAATGTTTTCTTTCCTTAAACATTTAAGCGCATTTGGACGGGTGACGTCGGCTCACCGTGGCCCCTGGCGAACGACGTCACGGGATCTTTAACGTCCGCCGTCAGGCGGATGGCGCTTCGGAGTAACGGTATCCGCTCGCCCTCCAAGACGGAGAGCGACTCGGAGGCGTAGCGGGAAGCCACGGACAAGCGGCGAAGGCAGCAGTAGCTAGGTGGCCGGTGCCAATAATTTTCAGAGCTCTGCGGTCCTCTATGTATCAAGGCGTTTTCAACCAATTAACCCTTTTTCTGTTCCGAGATGACTACAAGTTGCAGGCCGGAGTTTCCCGTTCACCGCTGAATCTCGGAACGCGCCGGCAGCTCAGCGTTAATTTAATTTTGTGAGGTGTAGTGCCGTTGTTTATGAAGACATTGTGCTGTCCGCAGAGTGCTCTAGCAACGCGACCACACTTTACGGTAGCTGGTGCCAAACTGGGCAACACGCCCTCCCGCACGGCCTTGTGGGAGCCTCGGTACCGATGAAGTTATATTATTTTATTTTTTATTTTTTATTTAGGAATAAAAACTGATGACGTACTCGTACGTCATCGTAAAACACAAAATACGCATGCGAGGGGGTAACACTCTATCCCATAGAGATGGAACATGTGGAGTGCACGTGAGGATTAGTCCTCAATCTGCCATATAGTCTTCTCCTGGCGAGCCAGGGTACGCCACCTCGATGCTCACGGGTAGAAGGGAGTTTCACAACATCTGTGTGTGATCTACCAACCCTCGCTGCTGCTCCCACTATGCTGGATTACAGACAGCCACGTGCACCACCACCCACCACCACTCACCACCACTCACCACCACCCACCACTCACCACCACCCACTACCGCCCACCACCACTCACCACCACCACTCACCACCACCACACACCACCACCCACCGCCCACCACCCACCACTACCCACCACCACTCACCAACCACCACCCACCACCACCCATCACCACCTACCACCAACAACCGCCCACCTAAGCAAGTAATTCAAGAATGGATAACATATAGCGCAGTAATCCTAATAAGGCCACCATTCGGGAAATAGATGGCTTTAATAACTGCGATGTAAATATATAATTACACGTATAATGTAATGGGGGAAGCCAAAAACAATAGCGAGAAAAAAACTACAACATTCCGGCAAAATACCGCACTTATACTGAAGCCCCATGTCTGTATGCTAATAACATATCGTTGTCCTGACACATATGGAACTTAAAAAATATGCACAATCACCTTTATTTAGCTCGCTGTCACGCTGTCGAGTCGTGCGCGTGGGCACGATGCCCGACGTTTCGCTTTGCATGCTGGGAGCTTCTTCGGAAACTGAATAATTCAGCTCTCCACCGCAGTGCCGGTGTGTTTTTTTGCATAACGATGAGGCTTCCGAGATCGGAGAGGATCCGGCGAGATCGGGACGCGTTCCAGGTGAAACTTGTCGTACGGCCACCGCGCTTGCGTGTACGTGCCGGGTATGGAGAAAACAAAAAGCGAAAGCTGACGTCTGTAATTTCCCGCTTGCTCAGGCTTCGATAAGTTCTTCATGGAGAGGAGACTCGAGAACAACCGGAGGGACGTGTGGTTCGCGGAATTCTGGGAGGAGAACTTCCAGTGCAAGCTGGGCAAGCCAAGCACACAGCGGGATAGCAACAGCAAGAAGTGCACAGGTGAGGAGGTGGTGGTGGTGGTGGGGGGCAGGCTGGGCATGGCATCTGTGGTTACCACTTGTCCTGGTTGTCCCAGGATCATCCTCTGGGAAATCTCGAAGTCTTTCTGTGAGATGTGAACTGCCTCGCCTGGTATACAGGAGGTCGTGCATTCGATCCTGAGCCTCACGCCTGTGTGTTTGGAGTTTATATGTTCTCCCCATGGTCGCGTGGATTTTTCGAAGGGTCCTCCGATTTTTCCCTCCACATTTACAGCATAATCAACATCACGAATTTGGAGTATTTTGTTGATATACATTTCCACATAATGATAAACCACTTCGTTGGGCTATCATTCGTGACAGCAAGGTCGCTTCTGAATAAAGAGCTATATAGCTCAGGGGGGGGCCTTATCTAGTTAAAATAAAAAAAATATATAGTATTCAAATTGTAAAATATGCCCCTTTTCCACCGGAACACATGAGCTGTGCTGGGGCCGTACCTGAATCAGTCCCGGTTCGGGTCAGGAAGTTCGCGTTATTTTTTTTCCACTGCGTGCAACGCGCATGTGGAGGATGCGCTTTGCCTTTCTGAACCGACTCGTGGCGCCGAGCGCAACGAGTGCCGTGGTGAGCACCGCAGCTGGCTCTGCTTGGCCCCGAGCCAGATGCGTTGTGTGGCCGGCGTATCACGATTTGGTTCCCGACTCGACACGGCAACTATCCCCGTGGAAAACCACCCGTACTGTGTTGGCCTTGCTCTGGCTCGGCTCGGGTGTTCCAGTGGGAAAGTCGTGGCGTTTTGTCAAATCTAATATAACAATACACCACTGAAGGCAATGCATTCACATTTAGTTCTCCAACTCTTCAAGGTTGTGACATTCTTCCTCCCAATGGCATCCATCCCACGCCAAAAACGGGACACAGGAGTGTTTCTTTATTTACTTTTGCGGAGTGATTAACATGCTGCGCTACGAACCCGGAGGCCTGAGTTCTGAACCAGTCCTGCACCGCCCCGAGATCAACTCAGCCATATTCGAGCATCCACATGCATTCATGCATTTGTATGTACGAATGTGCATACACACGTGGTGAGTGCTAGTGTAGCGGTTAGCGCGCTCTGCTTCGATTCCAGCTCACGTCCGACATCAGTGACGATAATCTGAACCAGCTGTGGGCCTCACCACCACCTCGTGTGCCGTGCCAGCCTTCAGCCCGCAAGAGGCGAAGAAGGTTATACGGGGGATCTTTGTCTTTATTTTCATTATGGTCGGGACCGGAGTACGTCACTCAGATCCCAAACACGGCCGCTTCTCTTGGCGTGCTCTCGTGAGGCCAAAACCTCCAATTCTGTCGAGGGGAACGTGCACTCGCAAACTGTGCCTGCTGGACTTGCGATCCAGAGGTTCGATCCCATCACCAGGCGCGGCAGGTCACGTGTGGCGGGGTAGACCGTGGGTGCCGCCACCTTTTTTTCTTCTTCTAAAGACGTCCGGCCAGCGGCCAAATGCCCTCTGGAGCTACCCTTGGCGGAGACCCTTCTACCAAGCAGTGGCGGGAGCAAGATACCGCAGCGCTGCGCTTTTCCCTATAACTTCGTGTGCAGGCAGAGAGAAAGAGGCTGATTGTGTCGTTACCACGCCACTCATTACGATTCTAAGAGGCTGATGATGTTATGTGTGCAGCTGCTTGCACAAGCGGTTCCCCATCGCATTCGTGATTCTGTTCATCGCGGCGGCGGTGTTGGTCAGCGCTAACGAGGGAAGTCGTGCGGTGCAATCGCCTTCAACTCCCCAGTGCCCGTGTTGATATCGCATACCACGTAGTGTGCTCAGCACGCCGCACTATGAACCCGAGCCTCCCGAGTTGGATTCCCAGCCGCGGCAAGTGACTGGCGTTACCCTCAATCCCTGTCATCCATGTGCACTGACCAGTGTGGTGAGATTCAACACTTGCGTGTGATGATAGCAGCAGCAATATGTTCAGGAGCTAGAGGTTCTGCTGTTTGCTCTCCACAACGAGAGGGCTTCAGGAGAGAGGAAGAGAAAGTTCGCGTGCTTTTGCAATTCCAATGGTTTACTATATGGTCTCATAGTTTGGGTTGGATGGCCACAATTGCACGGCTGTGGCTCGTGTCTTTCATTTCCATTCACGAAGGAGATGCGCCCATCGGCCTCTTGATGATGTTCCGATGGGGTTGATGGCTCCACCACCAGTGCCTTCGAGGAGGAGTGTCAAAGCCAGGAAGAGGTGCGATGTTGTCGGGGTCACGACTGAGGAGTTTATTCCAGACGTCCGCGTTATTCCAGATGCGGAAGAACGCTCGCAGCATTCTCCCATATCTGGGTGAGATTCTAGGATGGTGACAGCAGCAGCAGCAGGAGCACGATCCCAGAAGGGGGATTGGGACTTGAATTGGAGGCGAGGGACATTGTGGAGGTCCGTGTTGATGGGTAGATTGTCGTTGGCAAGAACATGTGTAAACTCCTTTGCAGTTTGCGCGATATCTCTGGGGATATTTGGCGGATTATTTTTTTTTTGCCAGAACAGGGAGCCAGGGGGTTCGGTTTCAGTTCCAGTGTTGAACTTCTTTCGCACCGTACGTAGCCAACCATGCTGATCGGAGGTGCGGGGGAAGGACAACAAACTAAACACAGAAAGCAGTTCGATAGAAAGGAGTTTTCAATCGAGATTTAAAAGTGCATAGCCCCAGTGGCTTTCTAATATCGGAAGGAGGAGCGTTCCAGACGGCCGCAGAAGCGCATCTGAAAGCGCGCGATGCAGTAACCGCCTTTGTACGATGGCCAGCCAAAAGCCGCGGCCAGGATGACCGGAGTTTGCGTGATGGTTTGTGCTCCACCCGTATTCGCCGCACACTGGAATCACGCCCGGGCCACTGATATTGCGGCCCAAGTTTCCCCACCACTGACCCCACCACTGCCCCGGCACTTGAACTCCCACGGGCAGGCGTCTGCTTTGTATGCCCGTTTTACCACCGCGCGACACGCAACGGATTCGTATTCAGAGGCTTCGCGGCCTCTGTCAATAACTCCGCGCGCGGCTGTCGAAGAACCGGCACTGGGGGGGAAAGGTAAATAAAAAATAAACCGCGTAACTCCTCCCGCACCTTGCGCTATCTGGTGCCCGTCGTTGCACCAGCTGGGTAGTCGGTTGGCAATGAGCTGTGCCCCCCCCCCCTCCATCCGGCCCCCCCAAGGGAGTCTCGGATCCCCGGTCTCCCCCCCCCCCCCCCCCCCCCTCTACGTCGCCCCTACCCCAGCTTAGGCCGACGTGTTGAAGCGCGAGATTGCCGCGTGCTGGTTTTTGTTTTTTTTGGCCACGCTCGCGCGATAACGGCGGTCGTTGCCTTATCTCGCCGTGGATTTGATCACCTCCAGGGGAGGGCCGCGTGGGCATCAACATCCCTCGCAGCTCGGGCATGCGCGCACACAACTTAGACTCGGGGGTGGGAGGGTGGGGGGGCACATTTTTCACTTTCACCTTCCCAGTCCCAGGAGCGCCGGGATGGCGAGTCCGGCAGCGGCTGTGCGTGTGCGTCGGGCGTAAAACAATCAACAACAACAAACACGGAAATCCTTCGCGTGCGGTATTTTATAATCCGAAAGCTGAATAGGGAATTTTATTTGAAAGTGTTTTTACGTTCTTAACTTTTTCGATTCTTCATTTCTACCTGCGAGTCGCATTTGCATTTCAATTAACCAACACATCTTTTTTTTTACGATTCCCACGTTTCTTTTCTTTGCAATTTACGCATGGAGTTGCCGACCGCGACGTGACATCGGGTAACGGTGAGGTTCGGACTCGTGTAGAGGTTTCTTTTTTTTCCGTTGGTTGTTTTAAGTTGCGGCGCTGCAGCCCAAAATCCTAGCGGGGAATTATCTCGAACGGACTGTTACAGGGCTTGGACAAGGCGTTCAACATTGCCATTTTCTCCCCCTGACTTTCTGTCGACTTTTAGACGAAGCGATAACGCCTCGCCATTATCTCCCGAGTTTTGAACCATCCACTGAAGGGGGTGCTGCTGATGAAGATAGCGCCAGCTATTGATATTATTGAACCGGGCTAAACTGCGAAAAACACACACAAAGCCCAATTCTTGTGGAAATTTAATATAAAAGTTAATCTGCCGGTCTGGAAAAAATATATATACTTTGCTGTCAGAATATAATTTGATGCTGTCGTGCACGTTTGTGGAAATTCAAAAAAAAGGAATTTATAAAGGAACTTGACAGTCAGTGGAGACTTTCTCCCGCAAGTTATATTCCAACTGCGTTGTCGGCGTCGCGACGCAGGAGGCGGGGAAACTTTCGTTCGGAAAATTCTGCAGATATCAGCGCCGTCACCCTGGTACCCAACAGAATGATCTCGGAAGATGCCGCCGTAGAACTGTTTGCTGAGTTCGCTTCAATCAACACGCCGAATTTTAGGCACACCGGGGGGGGCATTTAGAAAAGTTATTTTTTTTTAAGTGAAGCGAAAACCAAAACGTTCTACGGAATGTGTTTTCTGCGCAGTCCTAGGTGACCAGGCTAAGACCATTGGCACCAGTTGAGGGCCAAACATCCGGAATTAAACTCAGGATCTCTCATCGTCGCTGGCTGTGATGACTCTCACGCTTGACATGCCTGGCCACTCAGAAGACACACAGGCTGCGTCTCCTCAGACTGGACTCACGCCCAGGCCACTCAGATCGTGTCACCCGCAAGGCTCTGGAAGAGGGATTTCAGTTCGGGCAAGGAACATTAAAAATAACCACTCCATGGTGAAGTTGACGCCGACCAATCGGCAATCGTGACGGACGTCCGCCGAGCCCGTCTGTTCGCGCGACGTGCACAACTCTTCACACACCCGAGAGTATTCGTAACGCGAACCGGCCAGCTGGCTTCACTCAGGACACTCAACATTGCCACACGCCGCGGTCTTCCCGGCACGCGGCGGCGGCGGCGGCGGCGGCGATGGCTTCGGCGAATTTCACGAGCCGCCAATCTCCGGAGATAATCG